AATTGAGGTGTTGGTGAATTGTGGTTGAGTTTGAGATATCTCACATTGGTGTAGAATTGAAAATTTTGAACAATATGAAGCGTATAAGAAAGGTGGATTTGATGCCTTTGTTTCAAATATGGGGTTTGCCTCATTGAGTTGTCTTTCTTTGGATGACCTTATTTGAAATTTATAACCATGGTTGGAAACCAATCAAACCAAATGGTAGAAATTATAGTGCAAAATTATTATACTATTATATATATATATATATATATATATATAAGTAAAACCTTGGGGTGATAAGGTGACACTATGAGGATTATAAAATTTAAAACCTTGCGGTGATGAGGTGAAATATGGATTGGTGCATTTGTGTCGATTCATGGAGTTTGTTTCAATAGGTATATATACATGTATGTATATATTTATATTTTATTTAACTTTTCAAATTATTTGAATACTATTTGTTGATGATTTTATTAACAACTAATATATATTTATATAGACAATATCCAGATCATTAATCAAAGTACTCATGCTACCGCGCAACGTGCGGTTCCCATACTAGTTTTCATTAAGTGAAGACGACTCTGTGTCCCATAAAAACTCATTTTGTTGCTATGGTTGATTGCTAAATTGCCACACCCCTAATTCTCATAAAGCTATGACATTTGACTTATAAATGTGAATTCGTAACAACATTGACATCATAACCTGATTAATATATAATAAAATATTTAATTATTTATTCAAACAACTATAATGGAAACAACATCCAAAGATTATGACAATCTCTAAGTTGATTTACATTTACCCAAAGAGAGGGTTTAAGTCCCTCTTTCTACTACTGACTTCATTGTTTCAGCAATAACAAGTATGCACCCTCTAACGTTTTAAAATACATTTCTTTAATAATAATAAAAATGGTTGTTATCGATCGTTTTGCTAGTACAAGTGATATTGCCTTATACGAACCGTTTCTTTAGAACATTAGGGTTATAATTGAACCTTTAGATTTAATTCTTCAAAAGTTTATATAATAGAAGCATAAGTTATCAATTATGTTATATTTCTTATGGTTGTGTTGAAAATATCAGTACATAAAATTATAGTTACAGAAACTAACGTAAATGATATTCTTAAACCATTATCAATTAATTATTTTTTATGCATTAAGTACTGTTTATATATGCATATTACTTAAAATTCAAGATTACAAGTAAATTGTGCGTGCTTCACGTTTGAATTTCGTGTAACTAACTGCAGATAAACATAATCAAATACTGTAAATATAAAAAAATTTAAAATATATTTAGGATAATCTTTGAATTCTAATAAAATACTAATTATTATCTTTATAAAAAAAATTATATCATTAAAATAAAAATGAATTACTTTATTATTAAATTATAATAAAAATTTGAATTAAATAAATTACTCAAAAGAAAACAAATACTTCTAAATATCTAATTTGATACTAAATTCGATGCATTTTTTTCAAAATTATATAATATCTTCAAATTTATATTTTATTCAAAAAAATAAAAACATTATCGTTTTTTCAGTACCTCATAAAATCGTATTATAACATCGATAAAGACAGAATAAAACAAAACATTAAACCGAAATGTATATCGATGTATTGCACATGTACCTTTTTAATATATATATATATATATATATATATATATATAAAATAAGATATTGAAAGTCTAATCTTTTGAAAACCCAATTCATTTAATAAATATTATACGTAATCAACAAGCCTTTTATAGAAATCGCAAGAGTTTACTTTCAAACCACAAACATATCTGACCTAACCAAACCAATATTCTATCAGCCACATGCGACCAATACATGTGCTAGGTAAAATGCCTCTTTCACTTCAATTAATTTATTTTAGGTTTTTTCTCCAATAAACATGGATCACCACAAATAGTTTATAACGTCTTGATAAAAACAGAATATTAGACTTTATATTTTATAAGCCGTTAACTTTGCCTATATAATCAATTAAACGGAAAATTTTATACGTTTCGGTTACAGTTTCGTTAGACGTTATTTACAAAACAAAGAGTTTGAATGATGATGTGCCTCTAACTCACTCCGAATGCAATGCAAAGAATCTTATGTAGTTTGGTAATGTTCAAAGAGTTAAGAAATTATTGAAATTCAGTAAAATAGATTTTTAACAACAGGTGCATGAGAGAGACCATTGAACCCTGAGTTTACCAAATTACTTTTTTTGTTCAAATTTATGTTATTTATTTTACAAAAGGTTTTTCCACATAACTGTCATGAAAAATCGTCAACACGGTGCCCGAAAACTTTATCGAGCTGATCACAAACTCCATAATAAAATTGTTGAACTTGATAAAATTTCTTTATTTTCTGATTCTCATCTCAATAAATTTATTTTTATTATTTTTTATATAATTTTCTTGAAAAAAATATTATCCATATAAATAGATTCTTTGCTTGAAAATATCTCATTGTATATTCTGAAATTTTGCTCTGTCCAATAAGGTGAAGCCACATGGCCAAATAAATTAGCCAATAGTAGCCCATACTGTTGCTTAGAGGGCCCCACCCTACATCCATTCTACAGGATAAAATCCTCACCGTATACGTGTATAACATCAACCTCCAATGTTCAAAATTTACAAATTAATACCTTCGCTTTTGCGAATCACCATAACCTCACCTTCCCTTCTTTCTTATAAAAGATAACTAAACCATTCTAATCTGCTCCTCCCTCACTCTCACTTAAAAATGGCGGCCTTTTCAACGGTGTCGGTCTTTGTAGTTCTGATCATCGCCTGTGCCGCTGGAGTACAAGCCAACGGGATCGGATCCACCTTTTCCGATGAGAATCTGATCAGACAAGTGGTATCCGATGGTTTACATGAACTTGAGACATCAGTTCTCAAAGTAATTGGTCAAACTCGCCATGCTCTCACTTTTGCTCGATTCGCTCACAGGTATGTACATGATCATGTTGTTAGTATAGAGCTAATCAGCAATCGGAATTTGTTTGATTCATGTTTGACCTTTTTTCCCCCTCAATAAAGGTGTTTACAGTAATTAATTTTGATGTTGTTGAACTCGAACTTAATTATTGAATAGGTACGGGAAGAAATATGAGACTTCCGATGAGATTAAGCAGAGGTTTTCGATCTTCGTGGAGAGTTTGGAGACGATTAGATCGCATAACAAGAAAGGGCTATCTTATACTCTTGGAGTCAACGGTGAGCCTTTAGTGATACTTGTTGACAATTATATATTAGAATCCAAAGGCTTTTAACTTAAAACTATACTGTTGTTTTGCTAGTAATTCTTGTGATTATCTGTTCCGTCTAAAGAAAAAATATACGGAAAACACTACAAACTTGAACCATGGATTTTCACTTGTACCAGAGTTATATTATTATTGCTTTGTTATGGATTAGCAAGCAGTGGTTGTTTTGATGGGTTTGACTTACGGATTATTGAATCCATGCTTTGATCTTGCTGTTCTAATATGGTTTATGTTGTGCTGGTTAGAAATTCATTTGACCATCTAGCGAGAATCCTAAGTTTCATTAGACTACAATTACAGTAATCAGGCCGAGTGTTGTTTGTCCATGCCAGGTGATTCATTACTTTCGGGTATCAAGTTGGTACCCTTATGATATGCTTTCTCGTATTGAACTTCTATGGACTGTATCTGTTCCTAAAGGAAGTTCACATCAATGTCATATGGACTGCTCTCAACTTCAAGGTCAATATGAATTCATAAATCTTTGGAAAGTATCACTATAACATATCAAAAAGCGGGATATACTATTAAAGGAAAGATGTTGAAAATAAGTAAAACTGCAGCTGGATCTTTGCCATTTTGTTAAAGGATAATGTTTGACATCATTATCAACAAGCTTATTCCTTGTTTTGAAATGGAGGGAGTGCTAATGGTATATTTAAGTTATAACGGTCAGCAACTAAGTTATCAAACACAGATTATTTGTATATTAATTTTAGTCTTGACGTCCAAAGTTTTTTATTTGATTATCCGATCCCACCTCCGCTTCATTATTTTGTGTTGTTTGAAACAGAATTTGCTGATATGACATGGGAAGAATTCAGCAAACAGAAACTCGGAGCTGCTCAACACTGCTCTGCTACTAGAAAGGGCAATCACAAACTCACTAATGCTGTTCTTCCTCTCACGGTACATTGCTTATGGAAAATATCATGTTTCTGCTCTGCTGTTATATTTTTCATGCTAGATCCTTCACAATATAAGTTTTTGTCATAAAAGGCATGTCTGTTCACTGAAGTTGTGGTCTTTTGAAAGTAAAATGGTGATTAATTGGTAGATAAAAAAACAACAGTAACTCGACCTCAAAATTAAATTTACATTTTGGATTTTGTGGTGAAATATGTGGGGTTTTTTCTTCTTAGCAACATGATCTTAACTATATTTCATGTTCCATTTTTACAATGAAAAATTTGTTATTGTGTTTGTCTGGTATTCATTTGCTGACTAATTCTTGATAAGTCTATGCCAGCTTTGATTGAAAAAGGGATTTGATTGACCACCAAATATAAGATCTCATATTTGGAAGTTGAGGAAGTATAATAGAAGATATGGTTTGGCCATTGTGATTGATTATGATCTTTTAAGGAGATTAATAGGGCATAGGTGCTTTTTTCACTACCACGTTCTCATGCACCTGTTTTGTATGATTGCAGCAAGATTGGAGGAAAGTAGGAATTGTGAGCCCAGTTAAGAATCAAGGTTCCTGTGGATCTTGTTGGACATTCAGGTGAATCTTTAAAATCTGAGAAGGTCAATACAATATAAACTGGTTTCTAGGATAGCTTCATTAATACTATTTATCATTATTTCGTACGCAGCACCACTGGAGCTCTGGAGGCTGCTTATGCCCAGGCTTATGGGAAGTCAGTTTCTCTGTCTGAGCAACAGCTTGTAGACTGTGCCGGTGATTTTAATAACTTTGGGTGCAACGGTGGGTTGCCTTCCCAAGCGTATGAGTACATCAAATACAACGGTGGACTTGACACTGAGGAAGCATATCCTTACACCGGAGAAGATGGTGTTTGCAAATACTCATCAGAGAACGCTGCTGTCCGTGTCCTTGATGCTGTTAACATCACCATGGTAATAATATGAACTATCTTATGAAAGTTTAGAAGTTTTCTTATGTGTTTATATTTACATCTGTTATTAAGCTGATATCTAAAAAACAAAGCGTGTGCAGATTATCAAATAACTATATGATGACACTAGATAACGAAAACATTGGACTTGAAAATATATCCAACGTGTAGCTATTTACTGCTAAGTTTAGGATGCTTAGGCTTGTCCATCAAACATATCGAGCACTGAACATCACAAACATGCAAATTAACCTTAATGGTTAGCTCAACCGACAAATAAAAACTATCCCTTAGGACCCTCCACATAGGAGGTCAGTTCAAATCTTCTTAGAGCCATTGGGGATTATCTTCAGGCCCCTGGTTTGGTGGACGCAAGCTGGCTTAGACACATACAAGTTTAAACCGACACTTAGAGGCTGTGTGGTTGGTTTTCCATTAAGTCCTGTGTGGATGAAGCTGTCTATATAGATTAATCTGGGGGTATAAATTGGGAAGGTTTTTGTTTGAAAGGGTTTTTTCATAAATGTAAGGAGCATGTTTTTAGCAGGGGCAGGTTTGAAAAAAACTTGGCTTTATGTATAAAGCTCCCCTTAAAAGTTTACTAAATAAGCCACTTTCTATATCATTATACCACTAACAAACAGTCATGTATAACTGACCGAATAAGTTGTAAGTCTCATTAAACTCATTAAGCTGCTAATAATGAGACCCTTACTTTGGTGAGCTACTAATTTGTTTATAGGGTGCTGAGGATGAATTAAAGCATGCAGTAGGTGTTGTTCGTCCAGTGAGCGTGGCATTTCAGGTGATTTCGACCTTCAGACTTTACACCGGAGGAGTTTTCACTAGTGATGTCTGCGGCAGTGATCCAATGGTGAGGGTTTTTTTTTATAATCTTTGATTTTTAGTGTTCAATATGAAAAAGATGAAAGAAGCTAAATGTGTGAATGATTTTGAACAGGATGTGAACCATGCTGTTGTTGCTGTTGGATATGGTGTGGAAGATGGTGTCCCATATTGGCTTATTAAGAACTCATGGGGTGCGGAATGGGGTTTGAATGGCTACTTCAAGATGGAGATGGGAAAAAACATGTGTGGTATGCATTTATCCACAACTTGCTTAATTATTACTATGTCACATCCCAAGATATATGTTAAAATTCAAGGTGATTTTGATAGGTAAAACAGACATGATATAAACTTGTTGCATCTGGGACTAAGGAAGATAAAAATGCATTCTTTCAATCTCACAAAAAATAAGGATAATAGAACAAACTTGATAAATTACTAAACTACATGGTTACATTTGCTTTATGAAAGCACCCTCAATGTACAAATAGTTATTAACATGAACGAATAGAAGTGACATGAAATTTTTAACATATCTCATAAGAGCCATCCATCATCATTCATGAACGAATGTATAGAAAAATTGAACAAAATAGTCGATCTTCCTGACCAAATTCACATTATAGCCATTTTCAATCAAATTCTCATTTTAACATAGCCTATTTTCAGATTAAAAGAAAAGAAAATCTTTATGCAAATTTGCATAAAGAATTTTTGTAAGGATCCCTATTTGCGTAAATATTTTTTTTCTTTAATCTGAAAATAGACTTTATGCAAATACTTAGACTAAAATGGAAATTCAATGCAAAAATGTTAAAAATAAATTTGATTGAAAAAATTGACTATTTTATACCAATTTCCTGGAATATATTCCAGGAAATTGGTATAAAATAGTCAATATATATATATATATCCCCTTTGTGTTCATGTTACAAAAGGGTGGGAGAAAGAAAGACAACCTAATAAAGTTGAAGAATTGTTATGATATTTTTTGAGGAGTTGTTCAGAAGCCAAAACTGATGGGATATTGATGTGATTGCAGGTGTTGCGACTTGTGCATCCTACCCTATTGTGGCCTAGGTGTTATGGAAGAAAGAAATGAATGTAAAAAAAGGGTTTTAGGTGATTGTAATTAGGTCTATGTTGTTGTTTCATAAATGGGTGAGTGATCCCACGAACACAAAAACCAAGCTCTATTTGTAAATCTGCTTTATCATATTTATATAAGTATTAAGTAATAGTATAACTATATGGACCCTTTGTTATTGCATACATTTTGCTTTTATACAATTCCACCAACTAACCTTCTCAGTCAAGGCATATGGTTTCATCCTAAAGAGACAAAAGCCCATGAAATTTGACTTCACCACCACCTCATGTATTAATATGGAATTTGGTGTCTTCTAGATTTTATGAATCTAAACCACCTTTCCCATCCAACCGTCTATTTCCTTCATTTTCAATAACACAATAGACCAAGATTCAAGAACACTTCATCAAACTTATATTTCATGGATTTAAATCTAGACATTATCAAAACTTTTTTGATTATGAAAGTTCACATACGATGATAATTACAACAATAGTTGCAATCTTTAACACCAACTCTTGTAAAAGAAAACTTTATATACTTAGTTACGTAATTATCTTTTTGTATACAGATCCTAGAAAATAAAAGTAAAAGAGGTAGTTTCAATCTGTGTATATAAAATAAATCAAGTTAAGTATTCTTTACTAATGACATGTTAATTAAAAATAAATGAGTTAAACATTTAAAAATGGTCCAAATTATTATCAAATGATCATAATCTTTAATTAATTATATAATTATTTATAATAATAAGAAAAATATCATTAATTTTAGTCGTAATTTAATTTTGTTTTGTTATATAGACGTAGCGAAAATGTTAATGAAGACCAAAAGATGAAGAAGCCGTCCAAATGTCAAAAGTGGGCGGAATCCATAAACCGGCGTAGGAAAGATCCATTTGCACTAGCACACAGACAATCATCTCTCCTTTCTTTAATCCAATAATTAAGATAAGAGATAATGGCGTTTAATTATCCGATTTAAGACAATGGTGGGCCGACTTCACAGAGGATAAAGCCCCCCTTCATCTTCTTCCTCGACTTATATTCCCTTTTCTGTCAAAACCCTTATCTGTATCTTCTTCTTCTTCTTCTTCTTCTTCTTCCCAATTATCCATTTTTATGCTAAATCCTTCATCAGATCATGTCTGTTGCGTTTCAGACCAATACTAATCGGATCCGGCACTCTGATTTTGCTCAAGGGATGTGGATCTACAACTCCTCTGATGATCATCGAACCAACAACTTTCCCATCGTGAAGGACCAGGAAGATCACGATTCAAGCAGTTCTTCCTCTATTGGCAACAACAGTGACGCCTCTGGCGGTGCCGCCGGAGATTCTGACGACGACGGCGGCGGCGAGGTTCAGAGCTTGTTTAAAGGTCCCTTGAATACTTTATGTGCTTTGGAAGATGCTTTGCCGGTCAAGTATGATTCTTATTATTTCACCTTAACTGTTATCGTTTTTTTTATCTATTATAGCAATTTCTGGTTCGGATTTTTCTAATTTTATCATGAAAGAGTTGAAATGATATTAATCCTGATGATCGCTAGTCAAGTTTTGATTTCGTCTGCAACTTGAATTAAGCTGTATGCTATTTAGACGTTCATCTGCAACTTGAATTAAACTCGCTTCACCATAATTGATATCTGTTTTGTTAACAAGCTACCACATAGTTGATATATCTTAATAGTATTACAGTTTTTAGTGCGATTTTCTCATATAACTTTGTAACCAAAACAACGATTTGGATGAAGTATAGTGATTTATATAAAATTTACATCGGAAGTGCTATAAAATTTTAAGATGATATTATAGTGATGATAGTTCATAGCCTGTTCTAGGGCAGGGGAGTCAATTTGGGGATTTTTTGGCTTGAAACAGATCATTTTAAGTTTCATCTTTATGCTCACATCAATCTCTTTCGATTTGCTTATTAGGAGAGGTATATCAACATTCTATGCTGGGAAATCAAAGTCATATACAAGCTTAGCTGATGCAGTTTCTGTTCCATCAATTCAAGACATTGTTAAACCTGAGGATGCTTACAACCGAAAACGCAAAAACATGCTTGCTCATAGTGTTTTATTGGACAAGAATCGCAATTTTACTTCTAAGACTGGGATATCAAAACGGTTTGCAAATTCTAATAGGGATTCGTTGGCTCTTGGTTTAAACAAGCACGGTAGCACCTCAGGTGGCGAAACCTCCATGTTAAGCTCAGCCCCTGGTCATTCCTTGCCACCTTTGCCTGCACGCTCTAGAAGATTACCTACTAACGAATCCACAGATTCATCTCCTAGGATTTATTGTTCCACATGGCGATCTTTCTCTCTTTCGGACTTGCAACACGCTGCTGGTGCAACTTCGAGCATAACAGGCTCATTCAGTAACAAAAGAGTTGAAGAAGAGGATGATTAGATGTAGCCTGTGGTGTTAAGTGCTGGTTACTTGCATAGCTTTGGAAAGGTAACTTTGGAAGGTGTTAGGTCTGTAGCTGGTTTCGTTTTCCCGTTTCTTGGTTCTGCCCGTTGTAACTACTTTTCCTTGTCGGCAGTTACCGGAATTCTGTGGATGTTCCAGTTCTTGTAGTTCTTCCTTGTACCCCTATGCTTGTTATGTATAATGAAGAAATGTCCCCTTTTTATAAGCCAAAGTTCCATAAAGATTGTGGCTATATTGTTTGACGATTATGATGGTTGGTGGGTCGTAGGTATATATTCTCTGTCAGCAGTCTGTTGACATGAAATGGTGGTTTGTTCATGTCACATGATTTTTCACCAAATTCAGCTATAGTCTGTGTTGTTTGTCTAATTATCAACATAATAAATAGGATCTATAAATGGTTTTTGCTGATCATCTTTAGCATGTTAAATGTATGACTTTGAACAAAGTTTCTAAAATTTTGGGGTCTAATTTTACGTTGTTTAGGTTAATTTTATGTTCTTTGAAGCCTTTAACCAACAAATGTAAAAATAATCGTCTCTCTCTCTCTCTCTCTCTCTCTCTCTATATATATTGTTATCTCATTTTGCATCGTAATCAAAAGTTTTAGGTGTAACAAAGCCTTTAGAAAAAATTGTTTTTTGCGACATCCAGATGGTTTTTTCACGGATTTAGACTTGCAACCTGTACTACAACATGTAATGACATAAAAGTAGTATGTAACCATTTTTTTTGTTTAACTTAAGGAAACATATGTCAAATTAAAGTGGTTGTCCCTTTAAGACTTATCCATTACGTTAGGACAATAGAGTGGGGGCAGGACACCCCTACATTATTATTGGATCTGTTCAGTTTTTTCTTTTGTTTTTGGTAGTCTAGAAATGCTTTGTTGACGATTTCTCTAATCAACAAACAGTCACAAATTTGTTTTGGATTTAATTCATCAACGTCAAGAATTAGAAGAAGCACAAATTCTAGCCGATAAAACCCGTACGTTAAGTCACAAAAAAAGAGCTTCCGCCTTGAAAAAAGAATTGTTTGCTTTGGACCAAGGTATATATCTTATAACATGAATTTCTCTTTCATATTAATTCGTTATAAATATTATGAAAATTGTTTGAATTCACAATGGATGAAGCGTCTTGCAATTTAGGCTGTCGTCAAAGCTAATATTTTCTCAAATTTAGGAAAAAAATAAAACAAAGAAAATGAAAGATTTTTTTTTATTTGTGTTCTTGATAGGAAGGGAAATGAAAGGAATTCTTTTTGTATGTTTTTGAACATGAGCGGAAAAAAAATAAATATATCTTTTTCACAAATATATTCTTATTTATTTTATAGCACACTAAATATGTTTTTTTAATAAATATTTCTAATTTTTTTAGTGAATTATGGATTTGGTCCTCGTAGTTTAACGAAAATTATGACTAGCGTTCACAAACTCAAAAAATTATGGATTGGGTTCCTATGGTTGTCATTTTGTTATGACTACAATCCCTCCCACTAACTTTGTTAACATTCAATGGTTGTCATTTTTCTCATATGTTTTAATTAAAAATTTAAAAGTAAAATATATTATATTTAATTAATTTATTTATTTTATATTCATATTATACTTAATTATTATATATGAGTCTTTGTATTTTTGTCGGTTTATCTTCCAAGTTCAGCCCTACCCTCGTCTTCTTTGCATCCAGCCGCACCAACAACTCCTGACACCAAAGAAAAATCGTGTTCAATTTGTATTTTGATTTTTGTGTTTTTAGTTCTCGATTTAAATTCTCTCTCCTATTCATTTTATATAATTTTCAAGAACTTCAATGAATGTGTTTTTTAAACAACAACAATAAAATTGTGCAAATTAAACTACCAAAAAAAAACTATACCAAATTTGAAAATTAAAACCAAGAAAGTCCGAGTAAATTTCTTTTTAATCAAAACTCTAAATGTGTTCCTATTTGAAGTTTACACATCTTTGTTGAACATAATACCCGAAAACAATAAAATGAGTCAAAGACCTTCCAGCCTAGTGGTAAAGGCTTGGGTATGGCATAGTCATGAACCCGAGTTCGAGCCCTGGGAGGAGAGTGTTAGCGACATTTAAGTGGGGCCATGTTTAGCCTCCAAATTTGTCGGGGATTAGTTGGGCTTTGGCCCGGACACCCTTAAAAAAACAATAAAATGATGCCACCATACAGATTTTTGATATTATATATATATGGAATAAAATAAACAATTAAACTCAAAAAAATTATATTATATTCTATTTGAAACATAAAATAAAAATATAATAAATACTCAAATATAATTAAATATGTATAATATGAATATAAAATAAAATAATTAAATATAATATAGTTTACTTTTCTAAGTTCTCAATAAAATATACGAGAAACATGCAAAAAGACTCAAATGCTCTTAAGTTAACGGAGTTACAGTTAACTTAAGTTAGTGAAAAACACCGTAATCATAATAAAAATGATAACCACAGGGATCAAATACATAATTTTTTGAGTTTCGGGATGCTAGTCATCAATTTTGTTAAACCACACGGACCAAATGCTCTAATTTTTATAAATATTTCTAGAGTAAATTACAAATTCCGTCCCTTTGGTTATTGAAAATTTTGGATTGAGTCCCCTAAACAAAATAATTACATGTATGGTCACAGTGATCTCTGTTAAATATGTTGCCGTTAAACCTCACGTGCCCCCCACGTGAGGAGCAATTTTGTCATTTAACCCTACCTGCAATTATTTTTTAATGTACATGTTTCAATAGAGTGTGTACAAGTGTGTGAAGATATAGAGAAAAAACATAAATTAAAATCATCCCTCATCGACAGTTCGACACTCCTATCTGTTTTCAGGTAGACCTCCATTCTCCGATGATAACTCACAACAACGGTCATCTTCTCCGGCCATCCTCCGGTCATTTTCTCCGGCTATCAATAACACAGAGATCTCTCAAACACAACAAAAAATCAACAAACCAAACCCATTTTTGAAGGATAAAATCAAGGAAAAATCTCATTTTTATAGAGAAAAACAAGAAGCTAAACGAATATTTTGAAGAACCAATAAACGGATTTGGGTTTTTCATCATCAGTTTTTCCATCTTTCTCAACAAAAAAAGCCATAAATAAATCAAGAATACAAAATATATCAACTCCGTCAACAAGAACACAACAATATCAAGAATCCTAAATCTAAATCAAGAGACCAAAAATTCATTCCATATCGAAAACCATAACCAAAACCTTAATATACAAAACGATTTCATGGCGAAGGATTTTACCAAAAATAAACGACCTTCAAATGCTTCCTTCCATATTGGCAATTTTTAATTTGATGTAGAACTCCATAACCTTCGATTTTCACATTTTGGGGTTTCACATTTGGGATGGTTATATGAGGTTTTCAGTTCTAGATTTTCGATGGAGATGGAGATGAGAGAGAGAGAGTACGTTTCAAATGCAACTCATCACTTTTTGTACAACCAATACAACTCAATCAATTGAGATATTTATAAAAATGATGAGAATCCATTTATTATGATTTGAATATTTATGAAAGATGACTAGAGTTCATTAATTATGATCAATATATACTTTATATTAGCAAACAATCAAATTTTTTATGAAATCACATATTAATCAAATTAAATGGACGGTTGATATTGAGTTGTTTTGATTGTACAAATGTAAAAGGTTGCATAATAATTCATCTCTCTCTCTCTCTCTCTCTCTCTCTCTATATATATATATATATATATATATATGGTTGGTTTCCGATGAGAAGAGAAATTGTGGTGAAAAGCGTAAGAAGAGATCTCTATTCTTGCATCAATCCAAATTGAATGAGGTGCATCAAGATGCATCAAATCCAATCCCTTATAAAGCGCAATTCATGGATGGAAATGAAATTAAAGGTGATCAAAGATTCATATCTCTTCTTACGCTTCTCAATATAACTTTCTTTCTCACGTGATCCTTTTTTGGTTGGGTTCTGGTGAGAATAGAAGTTATGGTGAAAAACGTAAGAAGAGATCTTACATCATTGAATGCACATTAGGATGAGATGCAACGAGATGCGTCAGATCAATCCTTGTATCAAGCACGATTCATGGAGGGTTTGAGATTAAAGGCGATCAAGAATCCAATCCCCTTTTTACGCTTCTCAATTTGACTCTCTTTCTCACACGATCCTTCGCCTATATATACATATAAGATTTGTTCAAGATATTCATTAGTAAAAGAAGATCGATTCAATAAAAAAGGGGATACCAAATAATTTATATCTCTATTATAATTTACCATAATGATAAAATTAGTCCTCCAGACCTTACATATATTGATACCCCCTCCAAGTTGCCAGGAGAATAGTAAAACATCAGAGGTAATGAGGTTTGGTGAAAATATCGATATTTAAGATCAGTCAACAAGATAGGTGGAAAATGAACCGTAAGACCAAGAATATTCTGATAAACAAAGTGAAAGTCAATCTAAATATCTGTAATGTACAGTAAACGCAATGATTTTTTTTTACTTTATCCATTGCAATATGTGAGGTCGTTTCATACTTCCACTTATCAAGGACGTCTATTTCCTTTGTCACGATTCATATGCTAAAAAATAAGTCTAACAAATTCAATTTCATACCTCAGTTCTAAAGTGCAGTACGTACTCCATTTGGCAAGAAAATTAAACATTCTCGTCTTTTCAATTCGATAACGCAAAATACTTCGAGTTTAAGAACCTTTTTCACAAGAAGTCAGAATTATTGCAAAAGTAACAGTGAATTGAACTGCTAAAGAAACAATTACTATTCAATCAAAATCTTTTACCAGATGGAATTAAATATGATCAAATTAAATTTAAAGATAAAATGGAAAAAAAAAACATTATAATGCAAAAATAAAAGTAGTAAAAGAGAATTATGAATGTATTTATGAGTCAACTCAAATCCAATGCAACGACATTGAGAATTGTATGACTTTCTTTGTTAAAAAAAATATAATTTATTTGAAAATAATTCCTTAATTTGCTAATTATACCATAAAATGGAAATAATTTAATATTGATTTTGAGAGACAAAAATTTCCTCATATTCACACCATCGTATCATCGGTGTTCCAGCCTGTATACGATATGATATACACACACAATTGGTTCTTTTTCACTCGGATTCCTCCATTAATGGCGATCTATCCTCAAATCATATAAAATACCAGTGAATAACTGCACTATTCCCTTCCCATTTATTCAAATTGGGTCCCCTATATTCATAAATTCATCATCAAATTCCCAGCTAATCAAATCATATACACATGGCCAATAGCAATCACAACCACAAGCCTTCCAACTCCACCACCACCGGCGCCGGCGCCGATGGACTTTCTCAAAGAATTAACAGCCCAAGATTCTCCGGTCCGATGACGCGCCGTGCCCAATCATTCAAACGAAACAACAACAATAACAGCAGCAGCAGCAACAACAATACTAACGCTAGTAATACTCATCATGAGATTGATGTTCCACTCAACTCACCTAGATCTGAACTCGCTGATGGGTTTGACTCGGTGAGTGAAAAGAAACAGACCCGTCTGACCCAACGGGTTCAGACGAAGAGAAGTGGCTCCGGTGGCGGATCCGGTAACGTCGATTTTGTTGCGGCGTTTGGATTAGGTGGAACAGAGAAGAAGAAATTAGTGGGGCAATGGATGTTTTTTGTGTTTTGTGGGTTCTGTTTGTTTTTGGGAATCTTGAAGGTTTCCGTTAATGGGTGGTTTGGATCTGCAATTGAAAGAATTGGGTTTGATCAGGTTGGTTTTATTTCTTGATAACTTTGAATACCTCAAAATCAATATATAATGGTTGTTGATATAGATGCTTAAAAGCCATAAGCTTGATTGAATGGTTTTAATTCGATGAAGTGAACACCATTTGAAGCAGTATATCTAAACCAGAAGCTGACATTTTTCAAATGCTTTCTTGAATCTTGGATGATATTGACACATAACATGAAGACTGTGTGAAACTATGGTTTGTGGGTAAATGCAGCAAAGCTGAAAATCTTTTTTTTGGGGGGGGGGGATTTAGGGACTGCTTGTTAGTAGCTTAATGAGCTTAATGAGGCTCACAGCTTATTTGGTCAGCTATACATGGCTGCTTGTTAGTGACTTAATGATATAGAAAGTAGCTTATTCAGTAAGCTTCTAGGGACTGATTAATTCACTGGACAACTTTATCCATACAAGACTTAATAGAAAATCAACCAAAATGCGCTAGTTTTTGATGAATCACAAAAAGTTTTACTTAGATTTGAGGATCAACCGAAGGGCTATAGACTTCAAATTGGCACCAATGAGTCGAAAGGACACTTAGTAGCATGATAAGCTTGTTTTAAAGCTAATAATGTGATCATGCCGATAGAATAAAACTAGTAGTAAAAGAATATATTATAAGTGCAGTAGGTGAACAACTTTTCGGTTTTTATAGAACTTTACCATTAATTTGATATCTTTCCATTTGAGGATGAATACTTATCTACCCTTTTGTTTATAGATACAACATGCTTGGGTGTTCATTATTGCACAATTTGTTTACTTGTGGATGGAAGCTTTATTAATTTATCCGTTGGCCCTATCTTTCTGTTTTCTTTTTTTATTGTTATCTTGTTTTTGTTGATGTCGGGTTCGAGTAACCTTAATCTTGTGTTGTTATAAGACTTCCAACATTTTCTACGAATTCATTTTGAGGTGAGAATTAGTCCATTTGACGTAAAACTTTATCTGTTTTTGGTAATTTTTATGGTCAAACTTTGGATAGCATGACTGAATTGTCTTTTTCTGTGGTTTATCCTACTTATTTTCCAACTGTCCTGCCTTTCTAAATTAGGATTACTCGGATTCATCAATCTCTCATAAGAACCTAAGGGATCATATTAATAGATATCAAGATGAAAAGAATCATGTTGGAGTTCAAGAAAACGATGTGAAACAAACTCTAAAGATGGTATCTTCGGGTATAGTTGGTGACCATGATAACAAGGATGATGTAAGTCTACACATTTTTAAAGTTCTACAACGACTTTCCAAACTTCTTTGTTCTTATTGATGCTTAATGGAAACAGATTGTTTATGAAATCAAATGATTTTATTTTTAGTTCACAGGTATATGGACCAAGCCAAGTAGCGGGAATTTCACTCAGTGCATTGACCGTCCGAAAAGTCAAAAGAGTAAGCTTCGCGTACAGTTGACTTTGACCCTTGATCGCTAGGAGCCTATTCGTTGACCTTGTTCCTTATCTTGCAGAGTTGGATGAGAAGACCAATGGTTACCTTCTTATCAATGCAAATGGAGGCTTGAATCAAATGAGATTTGGGGTCTGATATCCTTTTACTATTCTAATTAATTTAGAATTTTAATTACCATTCTTAAGTTTACTTAAATTACCTATTAATCTAATAATAGATTTCTAGTGCAGATATGTGATATGGTTGCTGTTGCTAAGATTATGAAGGCCACATTAGTCCTTCCTTCTCTTGATCATACTTCCTACTGGGCTGATGATAGGTATATATTCTTGTTTTCTTGTATTTTGCAATGAGACTATTTTTGCAACTGAAATCAGTGAATCGTATGTGGAAGGGGATGCGCGAGAGTGAGGTAGAGGTGGAAGAATTTTGGAAGGTTTTAGGGTTTTAATTTGACGTGGGGTAGTTTAGTAATTTACCAAGTTTGTCCCATCTCCCTAGCTTTCGTTCCACTATGCATTTTTGTCTCACTCAATCCTGTCTCAGTCTAAGGGTTTGTTTGTTAGCAGCTTAATGAGACTTGCAGCTTATTTGGTAAGCTACATGTTTGTTTGGTAGTGGCTTAATCAGTAAGATTCTAGAAGGGAGCTTTATGCAGAAAGCCAAATCTTTTTCAAACCTGCACCTCCCAAAAAAAACATGCTCCTTCATCTATGAAAAAAATCCTCCCAATCAATTCACACAGATTAATCCACAATGATAGCTTTATCCATACAGGACTTGGGGGCTGTTTGGTTGGTTTTCCATTAAGTCCTGTATCGATAAAGCTATCTGTATAGACTGGGAAGGTTTTTGTTTTGGAGGATTTTTTCATAAATGAAATGGGCATTTTTTTAATCGGGAAGGGAAGTTTGTAAAAAAACTTGGTTTTCTGCATAAAGTTCCCCCCTAGAAGCTTACTGAATAAACCACTTTCTAATTAAGCCAATACCAAATAGTCATGTATAACTGACAGAATAAGCCGAGTCCCATTGCTCATTAAGCTACTAAAAAACAGGCCCTTAATGTAAAACCAACCAAACAGCCCCTTAATTGTTGCAACAAACACAGGACAAGAAGTTCTTGTTCTGTCCTGTCTTGTGCTATTCTGCGGACCAGCACACCGCAACTAACATGATTCTCTTTTCTTATGATTTATATCGTGTATATGTTCAGTGGCTTCAAAGATCTGTTTGATTGGCAACACTTCATCGAAACCTTGAAAGAGGATGTCCACATAGTTGAGGCATTGCCACCTGAGTATGAGGGACTTGAACCATTTGCCAAGACTCCGATTTCATGGTCAAAGGTGACACATTTGACCATTCACTTTCTGTATTTTGGACTTGGCCTTGGCCTTCTATGGATTTGTGTTTACTTTTGTCAGCTTTTTACTCTTTGATCTCAGGTTAGTTACTATAAAATGGAGATTGTGCCGCTTTTGAAACATCACAAAGTTATCTATTTCACCCATACTGATTCAAGAATCGCCAACAACGGTATCGCACACTCTGTTCAGAAACTAAGGTGTCGTGTCAATTATAAGGCTCTAAAATATTCTGCACCGATTGAAGAACTAGGGAAGACTTTGGTTGCTAGAATGCGACAAAATGGAAGCCCATATCTTGCTTTGCACTTGAGGTATTTCACATTCTTTTTCATGAGTTGCAGAATCTGTTAATCTCATTAATTTTTGTTACAACCTGTCCCTTATGGATAGAAAACTAGATTTGTGTGCTCCATATAAACTCAAAGTTGTTGGCTACCAGTAAATTTCACCATGGTTTTAAGTTCAATTAGAAGTTATTGGGCCAATCTACTGCTTTGGGCTATTAAGAAAGTTTAAAAAATCCCGATTGGGCCCTTTTTCAACCCCAAAGCATAGTCTGGGACTAAAAAAAGTCCGGACCTTTTTTTGCTCACTGAAAACTGGCTTGGAAGGCCCGAGCTCAGGCCTGAAGAAGCTCGGGCCTGCTCTTTATAAACTTGAAGTTGTTGGTTGCCAATAAATTTCACCATGGTTTTAAGTTGAATTAGAAGTTATTAGGCCCTGCTCCTTTGGACTATTGGGAAAGCCCAAAAAGGACTGGCATGAAAAAGCCCGATCTGGGCCTAAAAAAGCTTGGACCCTTCTTTGCTCACTGAAAACAGGTTTGGAAGGCCTAAGCCCAGGCTTGAGCATCTGCTCCTCATAAACTTTATGTTGTTGGCTCCAATAAATTTCACCATGGTTTTAAGTTGAATTAGAAGTTATTGGTTCTTTGGGATATTGGGGAACCCTGAAAAAGCCTGGCCTGAAAAAGCCCGATTGGGCCCTTTTGCAACCCCAAAGTGCAGCATGGGCCTAAAAAAGCTCGGACCTTTTTTTGCTCACTAAAAACAGGCTTGGGAGGCTGAGCCCATGCCTGAAGAAGCTCAGGCCTTGTGCATCTCTAATCCTGATGGTGGAGTCAAACCTCATCGAGCATAATGAGTCCCTGAAAAGAGGAGGGGGTGTTTGATTGTTTGTAACATCTTAGGCGAATCCCACATTGCCAATAAAGGAGGAGGATGACCTTGTTAAAACCCGTCCCAGATTGATAGAAAATTAGATCTGTGTGCTCCTTATAAACTCAAAGTTGTGGGTTACCAATAACTTCCACCATGGTTTTAAGTTGATTTGAGGCGTTGCATTTTTCAATAGAGCTTAACAGGATCATCATCACTCACCTTTTTTGTTCTTCCTTCCAGATATGAGAAGGATATGCTTGCATTTACGGGCTGCAGCCACAATTTGACAGCCGAAGAAGATGATGAACTGCGTAGGATGAGATATGAAGTGAGTCATTGGAAGGAGAAAGAAATAGATGGATCGGAGAAAAGGCAACTTGGCGGGTGCCCTTTGACCCCAAGGGAGACATCCCTTTTGCTCAAAGGGTTGGGCTTCCCGTCCACAACCCGAATTTATTTGGTAGCTGGTGAAGCATACGGGAAAGGGACAATGCAAAGTCTAAACCACGATTTCCCAAACATTTTCTCGCATTTCAGTCTTTCAACTGAAAACGAATTGAAGCCTTTCAGAAACCACCAAAACATGCTGGCTGGCTTAGATTACGTAGTTGCCCTCCAAAGCAACGTCTTTGTGTACACTTACGATGGGAATATGGCAAAGGCGGTTCAAGGTCATAGGCGCTTTGAGGACTTCAAAACAACTATCAATCCCGACAGGTACTTCTCATACCATTCTTTTCCCTGTTGATGCTTTTATTAAAATATAGCAAGGGCCTGTCTGTTAGCAACTTAATGAGATTCATGGGACTTGCAGCTTATTTGGTCAGCTATACGTGGTTGTTTGGTAGTGGCTTAATGATATAGAAAGTGGCTTATTCAGTAAGCTTCTAAGGTGAACTTTATGCAGAAAGCCAATTTTTTCCCAAGCCTGCCCTCCCAATTAAAAACGCGCTCTTTCCATCTATGAAAAATCCTCCCAAACAAAAACTTTATCAATCTATATTCTATACAGCCAGATTAATCCACACAAACAACTTTATCCATACATGACTTAATAGAAAACCAACCAAACATCCCCTAAAAGTAGGTAGAGGTCAGGTCTGCATGCATCTCACCCGTAGACCTTGCTCTAGAGGGTGACGTACATGGGTCGTTTGGTTGGTAAAAGTGGTCCTTGTTAGTCCCTTGCATCCACTTTTTTCATAGAATTGAGGGATAAATGGAGCTTCGTGATCCATGATTCCCTTTTCCGACCTTTGGCTAGTTTTTCCTTTTAAATCCATGACCTTCTGACAGGCTTAAGAATACCAGTGCATAACAGAAAACGCCTAAAGACCTGTCAAAAGGTCATAGATTTAAAAGAACACCTGTCTGAAAGTCATTCAGCTGAATAACCCCAACGAATTCGTAAACTAATACCAACTAATTTCCTTTGTTTTTGCATTCTTGCAGGATGAATTTTGTTAAACTCGTCGATAAATTGGACAAGGGGAAAATATCTTGGGAGAAATTCAGTTCTCAAGTGAAAAAGCTTCACGAAAACAGAGCTGGAGGTCCATATGCACGGGAAGCAGGAGAATTTCCAAAATTGGAAGAAAGCTTCTACGCAAATCCACTTCCCGGGTGTATATGCGATACAACACATGAAAAATAAGGCTAAAAACCGATCCCATTGTGCAGAACATCACTTAAACTCGTGCAAAAACAGACATATACGGATGGAATCAGTCAATACCGAATGGGGTTTCATATCTAGTTGCAGATTGATTGGTCAACTATTTATATTTATACATCAGGGTCAACCTCATCGCGTCGTTCTACGAGCTGCGAGTAATTTGAACAGCTGAGCTCGGAATTTTTAGAATTGGCGCGGGCTGTAAGTTCAAATTTTTAGCATAGGAAACATGAAATCGAAGTAGTGTATACTTGTTTCATAACTTATATGATACAACAAATTTCATGTTTGTATTTTGATCCCAACTCAGAATAGAAGGTTCCGATTCCTGTTTCATATTCTGGATTACTTGGGTAACCATTTATTGATGAAATATTGGATGAACCATATAAATCTCTTGTTAAGGAACTGGTCTGAGTGTTTATGATCAATCCTTTGTATCTTAGGCCTCCCTTAACCATTCAGCGCCCTAATTTCATTGTAAACAATTACCAAATAATTATATTTCATTTTGCATTATATCATGAGAGCCTCTTAATCATTCTGATCACTTAATCATTCTGCATCAAATCATTCGACAACTACCAAACAGCCCTTAATGGTATCGGGGGATACCACTAATATTATTTGTCGTAACCTTTAACACGCCACGAGTTTGATTAGTATTTTGCTATCATTGCCAGAAAATTGAAAAGCTGCGTTAGCAAACTTAAATTTGCAATTAAAACTGAATTCTTTTAGTGTTTCATATATATTATAACTTTGTGACTAAAATTTTTATAATTAATTTTTAGAGTAAACTACAAATTTGATCCTTGTGGTTTGTCAAAAATAACATTTTTCGTCCCTACAGTTTCGAAAATTACAAGATGGTTATCGAGCTTTGCAAAAACGTCTGGACTTGGTCCTTTCTTCTAACGGCCATTACAAGAATCCGCTAAGTGAAGGGCATTTTCGTTCCTTTATGGATTTTTTTGTGTTTTATCCAATCAAAAACCACAGACCAAAATCGTAAAATGGATTTGAATAAGATTGATAAAAAGACGAAAATGCTCCTCATTTAACGGGTTGTTAGAGGGAAGGATCAAATCCGAACTTTTTTACAATGCACGATGACCATCCTAAAATTTCAAATTGCAAAAACGAAAATAAATCATATGTACCAAATCTGTTTTGTACTACTGAAAAGAGAATCTGAAGCCACATGAATAAACATGAAGGCAGATGATGCTTATTCCAAGCTTGTGACCAATTAAACCACGCATTCGAGCTTACAGCATTACATTAAAAAGCATAGTCCTAACAACACCACCAAACACCAAGATGTTTGGAACCAAAATAGAACAAACAACAAATCAAGACAAATCAAGAGATACAAGTCCCAAATCAATCTTAGTTAGTGCCACCAAGAACACCCTTCAGTTTCTTAACTACTGCTGCATCAAGGAACGTTGTTGCGACCACCAATTCCGTCGGCAAATCGTTCGCAAACAGAGCAAAATCGGTAATCTGAAGCCCTGGGACGGGACTACTGAAGCTAACGAATGCGAGAGCGGGCCCCTTGCCGGAGTTTATCTGGAAATGAAGCAACCCTTGTGGGAAAACCATGATATCTCCTTTGTATAACGTCTTGAAGTAGACGGAATTAGCAGACGATATGAATCCGGCACAAATGGTCCCTTGGATGACAACCAAAACTTCCGAGCCACCAGGGTGAGTGTGCATTGGGATTACCCCGCCCGTGGCTAGGTCTAACCTAGCCATGGATATCCCAAGCCCATTCACGCCCGGAAACTGAGCCGTGAATGCGGGTGTGACTGCAGCTTTGATGAGATTGGTCGTGTTCCCGGCTACGCCAAGGCCCGAGTAAACAAAATCGGCCACTGAAAGTTTCTTGACATCTTTGCAAGGGAAGCCAGAAGGAGTGTCGGATTGTGAGAGATCGGCAACGCAGAAGTCCTGCACCGATGCAGTTGAGGCTACAAAAAGAAGAGAAAACATGAGTAGAATTGGGATCGCCATTTCGATGGAATGTTTTAGGAGTATGTTTTTGTGGGTGTTTGAAATTGAGATAAAGATGAGGATTATATAGAAGGGAATAGATAGGATGTGCATGGCCATGCATGAAAGGGCTTCACGTGAATGGGCGGCAAGAACAATTAAGACAAAAAGGACAATTGACTGTATCAGACTTCATATAAGAACAAGATTGTTATGTCCGTTAGAAAGTGAAGCATCTAAAAAGCATATCGAGAGAATATGTGGAACCCTATTAGCTAGATTACTCTCTAAAATGAGATAAAGGAGTCTCTTACACATATCAAGGAGAAATCTAGCCAATTTTGGGGCTACGCCCCCTCCAACGGAGGTTAGATAGGCAAGAATTACCCTAGAGTGTTGGGAGGGGGCTAGACGATTACTTATTGCCCCAGAACGATAGAATCCAAGTAGTAGACCTTGGTTACGATACCATGAGAAAATATGTGAAATCCTATTGAATAATTGTCCAAAAAAATGAGATAAGGGAGGTTCCAACATATTGAGGAGAAATGGTCCAAGTGTAGCCAATATGAGAGTCTTGCACGCATGGCCCTTCAGATGCAGGTTAGACGAGCAAAGATTGTCCCAGAGTGTTGAGAGAGGGCTAGACGAGTGCAGATTGCCCCAAAGTGTCTAGCCCCTAGAGTAGTAGACCTTGGGTCTGATACCATGGGATAATATGTGGAACCCTGTTGGATTACTCTCCAAACGAGTTATTGAGGAGATAATGGAGGTTCCAATATATATATATATATATAGAGAGAGAGAGAGAGAGAGAGAGAGAGATGAGAAATGGTTCAATTTTAGCCGATATGGAACTCTAACGCGCCCCTTCCAACAAAAGTTAGACGGGCAAACATTGAGAGAGGGCTAGACAAATACATATTGTCCTAGAGTGTCGGGTCCTAAAATAGTAGATATTGGTTCTAATATCATGAGTATTTACGTAGGACCATATTAAATTACTCTCCAAAAGAACCATTAAAGATAATCTTGTGATTACACAGAATCTTGTTGTTAGTCTTCTTATAATTGGGGCAGAAATTTGGGTATTTTATAATGATAACTGCATTAGAAACATGGATTCCTTCGAATAAAGTTCGATTTCAAGATTAGTACGAGATATTTTAAAGAAAATATCCGATGCAGCAGTGGACCTGACCAATTATGGTCCATGGGGGGACATCAGATAAAAGCACTTTTTGAAAGATCTCCAGCAAGACAGTTTTGTCATTTTGGAAGAGGTTCATCATCAAAAATTGTGTGGATCTTGTAGGTTGCCCATGCTTTGGGGAAAATCTATTGGATAAAATAGTAAAAATTAACACCAAATATTGGTAAAAGAGTCTCACATCAGCTAGACTTTGACCATTCGTCCTTAATATATGTTAGAACCTCTATTCTATGATCTAGAGCTCCTTTGAAGAGTAATCTAACGGGAGTTTTCACATATTCTTACATGGTATCAGAGTAAAGTCTAGAATACCCACATTTTCTCACAAAGATATCCAAGTTTTGACCTTTCTGGTCAAGATTTTAAATACATATTTACATTAGCAAAATAGCATACTTTTACATTAATAAAATAGAGCATAAACTCCAATCCGATAACCGTTATAATGAAAACTACGTCTACAGGCGCGAGCCTTTGTCAAGAGACGGGTAATCAGTGTACCCTACAACAGGATCATGGGTATAAAAGCTAGCCCTTACGTACCTGTTTAAGGGCGCGTTAAGCTTGAGTCTTAAAGCCAGATCTGGGTTTGAAATAAAAAGCCGACCATAAGCCACTAAATCAGCATCTTCTTTAGCCACGGCTTCTAGCCCAAGCTCTCTAGTGTACCCACCACTGCATATGAAAGTTCCCACATAAGAATTTCTCCAAATTTTCATCAATTCAGCCACTTCTTCCTCATTTCCATGGGTTCCTGCTTCTGTTTGACCATAAGCCGTGTAACGTGGCTGAGTCACATGAAGATAACTTAAGTTTGACCCCATTTCAAATTGGAGTTTGTTGAGTTTCTCGATTATTGCCAGGCCTAGGGTGCGAGGATCAGAGTCCACAGCATCTAGGTGGTCGATTGCTGGTGAGATTCTAACACCAACTCGGTCTGGACCAATGGCTGCAGCTACTGCTTGAACCACCTGCAGTAAGAATTTGGTGCGGTTCGCTAGTGTTCCACCGTATTCATCTGTTCTGTCGTTGATGCCGTCTTTCATGAATTGATCGAGTAGGTAACCATGAGCTCCATGTATTTCAATGCCATCAAAACCTTTGTTCAAAGAATAATAGGCTAGTTAGAAATCAGTTGAAACTGCTATGAGTAGCCATTTTTAGCTTACCTTTTAGGTTCAAATTATAATATTTTGTGCTTAGCCCTTGAGGAAAATTCAAATAACCCTAAATAATCATGAATATTATTCATCAYACATTYTCATCATTCATGATATCATRWATCTTCATCATGAATAATGTTCATTGTGAATGTCTATCACGATATTCATCATGAATAAAACAAGTATGGTTGGTTCCCAGGTTCTCAAAATATTTACATGCTCATTTGAACCTGCCCGGTAGACCTATATGTATGTGTGTGTACATGTATATGGCGTAATCAAATGAGAACTTCATATATTATAAGAACCATAAGAACTTTTACCTAAAGGTATTGTTTCACAATTTTTTTTCCATCTAAGGCTACTACTTAATGTATTGATTAACATATATTTGTTTCACACGTGCCACTTTAGAGGACAAGGGCTTCAAGTGAACGAAGCTCCCATTTCGTAGGGCGTTTAATCATAAACAAGCAGAATTTGGCCAAAAATTTAGAATTCTCAAAAGGTATTGTTTCACAATTAACATATATAGTTCAAATACCCATAAATTTCAGATGTTATTTAAGTAGCCTACATGGTCATCCTAATTGCTTTGGTTGCATACTGGCTGATTAAATAAGAACATAAATTAACTAACCTGCTTCAAGAGCATTAATGGCAGCCCGACGATAGTCTTCCACCACCTCCGCTATTTCATGGGTTGCCAGCGCCCGGGGCTCAGGATACCGACCGTAGGTTGCATTTGGCATTAATATTCTCCACTTYTTCGATATGGGCTTGCTTGTAGATGATATTGGTGCAGCACCACCTGGTTGATACACTGTTTGTTCAACACAAAATTATTTTTCTGTTAAGCTTAATWTTAGATGCAAWAAACTTATGGCAACATCTCATGATCTAAAGTCTACTTCTGTAGATAAGTTCTTGTGTCATCAGTCTAACACATGAAAAGCAATACCTTAACACTTGTTATAGACTACAGAAAGAAATTCATTCATATTTTAATACAAACACTTCAGATCATGCCAAACGATCTCAATATATCCCACATGGAGGTGGGGTCTGGCGAAGGTAAGATGTAGGTCTACCTGACATATGGCCACGCAAATCTATCGTCTAGAACAGGACTGATTGAAGCAATAAGGGACTGTTTGGTTCATTGAATTCAAAGGATTTCAAGGGAGTTGAAATGATCAATTCTTATAACCAAAAACCAATTCCTTTGTGTGATTCACATATTGAAAATGCAAGAATCCTTTATATTCTATTGAATTCCTTAGTTTAAAGATTCCATCATTTCTTGGCAAAAGTGAATGGATTGAGTTCCATCCTTTGTCAAATGTAAAGGATTTTATAATTTGGTTTTAAAATGACAAAAATAACCTTTGCATCCAATTTAACCTACATAGCCTACCCCCTCACCCACCCCCACCTGCCACCACACCACTAACGTCCGTCATAGCCGCCACCCACCCCTATAACCAAACTACTTTCACTTTCATGTGCGCCAACCCACCCCACCCCAATCCAACCCCCACTGTCACCACCACTCACCCACCACTGCACCACTACTGTCGTCGTCACAACCGCCACCCTACCCCACCCACCACGAACCATCATGTCACTAGCGTCGTCATCACAACCGCCACCCCCACCCCAACCCCACTGTGGTGGCCACCATGCCATTAATGTTGTCATCACAGCTGCCACCCCCATCACCCACCCTTACCCGATCCCCATGCCACTATTGTTGTCSTCACCGCTACCACCCCCAAACAAAGATGGAGATTCTAATTCTTTTGAGAGATTCCATTCTAGTTCTTACCAACCAAATTCCCCCAAACGCRTGGTCAAATTCCGTTCCAATTCCTTCAAAGTCAAACTTTCTTTGACGGATTTCAATTCCATTTTGCGGACCAAACAACGTCTATTAAGCCTCATAATATGGTTGATTAGTTGGAATACTAATGGCTGGGTGGGTGATGAAATGATGGCTGAATTTCAGTATTTGGAATTGGGATTCTGCTTTCAAACCAACTATGCAAACCTTTCCTCCACCCAAAAAAACACAATTTACGACACTTATGCTTTCAACTAGTACCATACTCTCATAAAACAAAGGTTTGATGTGTGTTTGTGTTGCATTGACTTAAAGGCCAGCCCTTGAAAGCTCATGCCATAAGCTGTTATATCTTTAGAGGCTTATTATGGGATCAGCGAGGTACGTATAAGCTAGCCCAACAACCACACTTATCCAAGATATAGAAAAAGGAAGTACCTTGGTGGGATGCTCTACCGACATGCCATAATTGACAAAAGATGACTGCACCCTGTTTGTGAACTGCATCAACCACCTTCTTCCAAGCATCAATTTGTTCATTATTAAATATACCTGGTACATGAGGGAACCTGACCCCACAATCATCAAACTTTACTTGTTACATATATCAAAACCCTTTTAATAATTAAAAAAAAATGGAATCTATTATATATATATATAATGCGTATGCAACTTTAATAATTGGTGTATAGCGTGGGCTCTGCAGACCACTATAACATTGTGATGTGCGATTTGTAGCCATAACTTTATAACCCCAATCATAACAGAATTGAATGTAATTTTACTAAAACACCCTTGAACTACAAAAGGAACAACGAGATTACCCGGCGGAGGTAGGCGAGATCATCGTCCCCTCGGTGATGAGAAATCCACCCTCGGTTGATCTCTGTCTGTAATACTCCACCAACGCTTGATTCGGTATACTATTCAACGCCCTACATCTCGTCATCGGAGCTAACACCACCCTATTATCCAAATCAAAACACACTTAAACATCGGTGAGATAATCGATCACGCAAACGGCGTAAGAAAGCCATTTGAAAAAAATCTGAAATAACGGACCTGTGAGAGAGATTGAACCTTCCCATCTTGTATGGAGAGAAGAGAGTTGGTTTGTGGGCAATCGGAGTTGTTTCAGCCATTACAGGTCTGGGATCGGAGATCTGAATGTAGAAGAGTGATGGAAGAGGACAGCAGAAAAAGATATGGTGGTGGAGTATATAAATGCAGAGTACGAAAGAAAAAAGAAAAAAAAAACGTGGTGTTGACTGTGGAATACCAATTTAGACTTGAATTTCTTCTCAAAAAACAATTTATTGATTTATTTCATTTTCGCATTGATAATAAATATTTTTGATTGTTTGGATAAACAGCTTATATCGGTATCAATTGTCAAACCGGTAATAATAAGTTTTAAAAAAAGTTAAATTCATTCTAACTTTTTTTTAATTAACCTGGATATCCAACCCGCTATACAGGCCGACTAATTCTAGGACGACCACTTGCTTTGCAGATAGCTCGGAGTTACCGTATTTGAACCTCCGTAGCCACAAGAAGGTTTTTATTCCTCTTGGATTTGAACCTGAGACTTTCTGATATTTTTTACTTTTGGAGTCAAGCTCAAACCAATCAGACACCATCCTTGTGGTTAATCATTCTAACTTATAATAAGTTGATAAGGACTTATGTAGAAAAAAATAAGTTGTTTCAAATAAACAATCTCAAACACCCAAGAATTTATTAATTCTCTAAAATATTTTATTAACAGATTATTTATGAAAAAATAATGTATTTTTAATTATTTTTTATGTCATCAAGTAAGATTAATCTGTTTTTATGAGACTATATTTTTAAACTTGAAACTTTATAGTAGAATATCGTGAAGGTAAAAAAATTGAACTTTCACAATAAAAACACTGTGAAAGTTACATTTACAAAGTTTTACCGTGAAATTTTATATATAAAAAGGTGATCTCACGTGACTTATGAAAACAGATTGGTCTCACGTGAACTCAACCTTAATTTTCACATTATAATTTTTCATATTTTATATAAGTTTCTTTACAACTCTATTAAATTTATAATATTTAAATGTATCGAATATTTTATTGAATATTTTAGTCATATAATTAATGTTGAAATATTTAAATAGATTAATTATTGGAGTTAAATACTTTCTCCATCCCAAAATAAATATCTACATTGTTATTTACATTTGTTCCAAAGTAAGTGTTCATTTTAAAAAATAATAACCAAATTTTTAAATTTATCCTTAATTAATGCACAAATATTTAATAGTTGTGAAGGGAGAAAAATAAAAAAGGGCAAAGATGTTATTTGATTAACCAAAAAGTGTAATAATTATGCATGCCTAAAACTATGTGTTATTTCAATTATAAACATTTATTTTGAAACAAAAGGAACATGATTTTTTTTAACAATTTTAAAGTTTTGATTCTTCATTTTAAAAAAATCTCTACGTCCATCTGTTTTCTTTTTAAAGATTTTAACATTATTTATATCATTAAAATATTTGTTATATTTAATACACCAATAATCTTTTAATCAAACAAATATTGGAAAAACAAAGTATGATATAAAAAATCATTTATTTTTTAGCATTAGATTTTAGATGGTTATTTAAATTTGGAGAATTCTTTATTTTAATATGATTAATACATATATTTTAAAATTATTTGATAATTAAAGATATGTTTTTAATATTTTTACGAGGATAACATATGAAAATAAACAACTCGGGGATGAAATTGAGCATTTCCTATGATCATTATAAATTTGGAAAACAAATGCTATATACGTGTTCTATTTAAAAAAAAAATGAAGTTAAGAATGCTTATTGATTTGGATCTTGTAGGTTGCCCATGCTTTGGGGCAAATATATTGGATAAAATAGTAAAAATTAACATCAAATATTGGTAAAAGAGTCTCACATCAGTTGGATTTGGATCATTCATCCTTTAATATATGTTGAAACCTCTATTCTATGATCTATAGCTTTTTTGAAGAATAATATAATAAGAGTTTTCACATATTTTTACATGGTATCAGAGTAAAGTCTATAATACCCACATTTTCTCACAAAGACATCCAAGCTTTGACCTTTCTAGTTAAGATTTTAAATACATATTTAGGTGTCGTTTATCAAACGTTCAGAACCGACCCTAACCATAGGCCCAAGGGACGACAACCAAAGACATTATAAAGCTCAAGGAGATCAATTTTCTAAAACCCAATATGGTTGTATAGTTTCAATTTTGACTTGGGCCTAGTCCACTAGAATCTCAATCGCAACCGGCCTTCACTCAATTCGTCCTCCCTCGCCTCTCGCCTCGCTCACGGACGAACTCACGAACAGAAACCACGAATCGAAATCGCAATCGGCCTTGACTCAATGGGTTCTCGCTCTCTGCCTCTCTCGAGTCTCGACTATCGACCGGCTCTCGGCCTCTCGCTCTCGCATCTTGTGGCTTGTGAGGTTAGGGTTATTTACTTTACTTATTTCATTTCTTATGTTTCTAATTCTTGTTTGATTGCAAAACCTAAGTGTGAAGCTGTGAAATTGGTCCTTTGTGGTTTGTCGTTTGAGTTTCTAGTACTGTTACTGTATCACTGATTCACTGTATGTCTGTATGTATAATGTTAATGTATCATGTATGCCTAATTCCTAATTGAAATCCATGCCTTTTGCTGCCAATCTACCATTTGTTAATTGTTGGGTGGTTGACTGGTTGACCTAAAGATGTCTATAAGACTATAAACCTCTTGTTCCTCGGCAGTCGACTCTCGRTCGCTCAAAATCCGATGATTTAGATTGTTATTTGAAGATTTGATCTTTTGTTTAGATTAGGGTTATTTTGTTTAATTGTTTAGTTTAGGTTAGGGTCATTTATCTTATCTTGTTTAGTTTAGGTTTACCCAAATGTTAAAACTTTAATCATTACATAGCAAGAGCCAAAACCATAAAAACTTGTTTCTTGTTGACAATAGGTTCATTTTGCATTTCATGGTAAGTTGTTGTGTATGTCATCAAACTTATATGTACCCTAGTAGTAAGATTGATATTCCTTATTTCTTTAATCCCAGCCTAGGTACGGGAAAAGAGGTAGAGGAAAGTAATTTGCTGCAGAAACTATCAGAAGCTTGCATTGTTGATTTCTCTTAAATTGACTCTTCAACTGCACAAGTAAGTTTTTATGTTCATGGGTTTCAACTGAAGTTTTGCTGTTCATGGCATAAGTTCTATACTTTTTTATGTTTGTTTAAAGTTAAATGAATACTATTGTTATTAATTGATCTAGTTGTTCATCGAATCAATCAAGGCAATCTTTGGAGTTTTARTTCTTCATTMTGTGATTAATATTCAAGTTWTCATCCACCGCTTTTTGTTCTAATCCCATTAGATTTTGATGTATATTAACACAATTTCAGCAGCTATAATATAGTTGAACAAACCTATAAATGTGCAGTAGTTAAGTGATGATTTGCCCTCACTTGAATGTGCAGTAGCTAATTCACTTGATTGGTCTCCCTTAACTTTGCAATTTTACATATGAAACTCATGWTTGTCAWTAGTCAAGACCCTAAATATTATTATGTGAAACACATGATGGACTAACGGAGTCATGCAATAGCTAATTTCATAGGCAAATACCTTAAGTGACTAAAAAAMACTAATGTGTCTCTCGGTCTATGAAGGAAAAAGCTAGACAATTGTAAATTACCGCACTTGGATGTTTTCAAGTGGGCATCATTTGGACTTTTCGCCGTGGGCACCAAAAATCTCAGGGCCGACCCTACAAACGCTTATCTGAGTAAGTGCTTATCAAGTCACTTTACTTAACCRRATGAATATGACAAGGACTAAAAATCTTACCCGGTAAGAGCGAAGGCAAGAATCGAGAGYCTTACCCRGTAAGTGAGGACGAGGACTCTTACCATGGTTAGCGYTTATCGGGATAAATTGTTACATACGATGCGTTTTAGTGAATAAAATCTTACCTGGTAAGTAAGCGATAKTGTTGAATTTTACCGATAASTGYTTACCGGGTAAGTTTTTAGGTAAATGGCCCCTTACRTTTRCAAAATAGCATACTTTTACAGTAATAAAATAGAGCATAAACTCCAATCCAATAATYSTTATAATGAAAACTACAGGCGCGAGCCTTTGTCAAGAGACGGGTAATCAGTGTACCCTACAACAGGATCATGGGTATAAAAATTAGCCCTTACGTACCTGGTTAAGGGCGCGTTAAGCTTGAGYCTTAAAGCCAGATCTGGGTTTGAAATAAAAAGCCGACCATAAGCCACTAAATCAGCATCTTCKTTAGCCACGGCTTCTAGCCCAAGCTCTCTAGTGTACCCACCACTGCATATGAAAGTTCCCACATAAGMATTTCTCCAAGTTTTCATCAATTCAGCCACTTCYTCCTCATTTCCGTGGGTTCCTGCTTCTGTTTGACTATAAGCCGTGTAACGTGGCTGAGTCACATGAAGATAACTTAATTTTGATCCCATTTCAAATTGGAGTTTGTTGAATTTCTCGATTATTGCCAGGCCTAGGGTGCGAGGATCAGAGTCCATAGCATCTACGTGGTCGACTGCTGGCGAGATTCTAACACCAACTCGGTCTGGACCAATGGCTGCAGCTACTGCTTGAACCACCTGCAGTAAGAATTTGGTGCGGTTCGCTAGTGTTCCACCGTATTCATCTGTTCTGTCGTTGATGCCATCTTTCATGAATTGATCGAGTAGGTAACCTTGAGCTCCRTGTATTTCAATGCCATCAAAACCTTTGTTCAAAGAATAATAGGCTAGTTAGAAATCAGTTGAAACTGTTATGAGTAGCCATTTTTAGCTTACCTTTTTGGTTCAAATTATAATATTTTGTGCTTAAACTTTAGAACATTGGTAGGCCTTGAGGAAAATTCAAATAACCCTAAATAATCATGAATATTATTCATCACACATTCTCATCATTCATGATATCAATGTATCTTCATCATGAATAATGTTCATTGTGAATGTCTATCACGATATTCATCATGAATAAAACAAGTATGGTTGGTTCCCAGGTTCTCAAAATATTTATTTGCTCATTTGAACCTATATGTATGTGTGTACATGTATATAGCGTAATCAAATGAGAACCTCATATATTATAAGAACCATAAGAACTTTTACCTAAAGGTATTGTTTCACAATTTTTTTCCATCTAAGGCTACTATTTAATATATTGATTAACATATATTTGTTTCACAYGTGCCACTTTAGAGGACAAGGGCTTCAAGTGAACGWAGCTCCCATTTCGTAGGGTGTTAAGCAGAATTTGGCCAAAATTTTAGAATTCTCAAAAGGAGCTTGTGTTCTTAAAACGTATCAAAAGCATATAGTTCAAATACCCWTAAATTTCAGATGTTATTTAAGTAGCCTACATGGTCATCCTAATTGATTTGGTTGCATACTGGTTGATTAAATAAGAACATAAATTAACTAACCTGCTTCAAGAGCATTAATGGCAGCCCGACGATAGTCTTCCACCACCTCYGCTATTTCATGGGTTGCCAGCGCCCGGGGCTCAGGATACCGACCGTAGGTTGCATTTGGCATTAATATTCTCCACTTTTTCGATATGGGCTTGCTTGTAGATGATATTGGTGCAGCACCACCTGGTTGATACACTGTTTGTTCAACACWAAATTATTTTTCTGTTAAGCTTAATATTAGATGCAAWAAACTTATGGCAACATCTCATGATCTAAAGTCTACTTCTGTAGATAAGTTCTTGTGTCATCAGTCTAACACATGAAAAGCAATACCTTAACACTTGTTATAGACTACAGAAAGAAATTCATTCATATTTTAATACAAACACTTCAGATCATGCCAAACGATCTCAATATATCCCACATGGAGGTGGGRTCTGGCGAAGGTAAGATGTAGGTCGACCTGACATATGGCCACGCAAATCTATCGTCTAGAACAGGACTGATTGAAGCAATAAGGGGCTGTTTGGTTCATTGAATTCAAAGGATTTCAAGGAGATTGAAAATGATCAATTTCTTTGAGCAAAAACCAATTCCTTTGTTTGATTCGCATATTGAAAATGCAAGAATCTTTTTAAGTTCCATTGAATTCTTTAGTTTAAAGATTTCATCATTTCTTGGCAAAAGTGAATGGATTGAGTTCCATCCTTTGTCAAATGTAGAGGATTTTATAGTTTGGTTTWAAAATGACAAAAAATAACCTTTGCATCCAATTTATCCTACATAGCCTACCCCCTCGCCCACCCCCACCCTGCCACCACACCGCTAACGTTTGTCATAGCCGCCACCCACCCCTATAACCAAACTACTTTCACTTTCATGTGCGCCAACCCACCCCACCCCAATCCAACCCCCACTGCC